TCCCTAATGGACCTCTTCCCATTTTTCAATGCAGCCAGCTACTGAACATTAAATTTGGACAACATTTATCAGAATTTCTCTTTGTATAAGGCTGGGATATAAACCAGATATTCACTTATTTAACAGAAATTGTGGGGTGTTCTGTTTGCTTTTATTTTTAGTACATGAAATATTACGTAACTTAAGCAGGTGTGTTAAGTGTATAATTGGGGGTTAGCATAAATGGATTTTAAAGGCTACTAAAAGTAGATTTCAGAGAAAAAAATCAATTAAAAAAAAAAAAGAAAGAAAGAAAACAGAAATACTTAAAAATTAGTTAGTTTCAAACAAAATCACATAATCATAGAATGGCCTGAGTCGGAAGGGACCTTAAAGATCATCTTATTCCAACTCCCCTGACATGGGCAGGGGTACCTCCCACTAGACCAACTTGCTTCAAACCCCATGCAACCTAGCCTAGAACACTTCCAATGACAGGGCATCCATAGGGCAACATACTGGCCTGGAACATTTCCAATGACAGAGCATTCTCTGACAACCTGTGCCAGTGCCTCAGCACCTTCACAGTAAAGAATCTCTTCCCAGTATTTAATCTACACATACACTCTTTCAGTTTAAAGTCATCCACCCTTGTCCTGTCATTACATGTTCTTGTAAATAGTCCTTGTAGGCTCCCTTCAGATACTGGAAGGACATAAAAACTCAGAAGCCCTCTCCTTTCCAGGCTGAACAACCCAAATTATCTCAGGGTCTTTTTCATAGGAGAGGTCCTCCAGCCCTTTGATCATCTTGGTGGCCTCCTCTGGGCTGACTCCAGCAGGTCCCTGTCCCTCCCGTGCTGGGAGCCCAGGGCTGGATGCAGGGCTCCAGGTGGGTCTCAGCAGAGCAGAGCAGAGGGGCAGAATCCCCTCCCTCCCCTGCTGCCCACGGGGCTCTGGATGCAGCCCAGGACACGTTTGGCTCTCTGGGCTGTGAGTGCCATGGCCGGGCCATGTGCAGCCTCTCACCCACAGCACCCCCAAACCCTTCTGGGCAGGGCTGCTCTGGGTCTGCTCATGCCCAGCCTGGGCTGGTACTGGGGGCTGCCCTGACCCTGGTGCAGCACCAGCACTTGGCCTTGAGCTTCATGATGTTTGCATGGACCCACTCCTCAATCTCGTCTCTGGATGGCATCCCATTGTTCAGGTGTGTCAAAGCACCACTCAGCTTGGTGCTGTCATCAAACCTGCTGAGTGCACTGGATCCCTCTATCTATGCCATTAATGAAGACATTAAAGAACACCGGTCCCAGTATGGATCCGTGAAGGACTCCACTTGTCACTGATGTCCACTGGGACTCTGAGACATTGACTCTCATTGACTCTCTGGATTTGATTATCCAACCAACTCTCTGGATGTAGCCAACCAATGCCTCACCACCCAACAGTCCGTCCATCAACTCCATCTCCCTCCAGTTTAGACAGAAGGATATTGTGGGGGACCCTGTCAAAAGCTGTACAGAAGTCCAGACAAATGACATCTGTAACATTTTCCTTGTCCACTCCTGCTGTCACTGCATCACAGAAAGCCTCTGGTTTGTCAGGTAGGACTTACCCTTGGTGAAGCCACGCTGGTTGCCTCAATTCACCTCCCTGGCCTCCATGTGCCTTAGCAGAGTTTCTAGAAGGAAACTAGATCCCATGATCTTCCTAGGCAGAGGGGAAGCTGACAGGTCAGTAGTCCCTGGAGTCCTTCTTTCTGCCACTTCTCAAGATGGATACAATGGCTTCCCTTTTCCAGTCACCTGGGACTTCATCTGACTTTTCAAATATTATTTGAGAGTGGCTTGGCAACCACATAATTTCATTAGGTTCCAAAACTTATGTACATTAAGATTCCTCACGTGGAGAATCTGACCTTCTCTTACAGTGGGAGGGACTTGCTCCCCCAGTCCCCATCCTGATGTTTGTCCACTTGAGAGGTGTAGGAAGACAGGTTGCCATTGAAGACTGAGGGAAAAAAAGTTGCTGAGTACCTCAGCCTTTTCCTCATTTGTTGTTACCAGTTTTCCACAATTATTTTTATTATGTGGGTTGCACCTCATTTGACCTTCCTTTTCTGAAGGAAGCTTTTTTTGTGTCCCTTGCCAGGTTCAGTTCCAGCTTCACCTTGGCCTTCCTCATCCCCAAATTGCCTAAATAACACCAGTTTGCACTGTATACTGCAACAAAGCAATAGCTTTCAATCTTTTGACCAAGTAACAAGGTGAGGAGGAAAAAGATAGTTGAGGCAAAAGGACAGAGGGTCCTTCAGAGTGAAATTTCCAAAGAACAACAAACTGCTACTAGGGAATGGAACTGGTCCAAAAATTTCATATAAAACATCAAGTATCTATGCAAGACATGGGCCAAATTTTGGCTTACACTTACATATTATGGATAAAGGATGAAAAAGAAAGAAAAAAAAATCACAGAACCACATGATACCTGAGGTTTGAAGGTACCTCTGGAGAACATCTAGTCCAATTCTGCCTTCTTAAACCAGAGTCAATCAGACCATGGCATCCAGGATTGTGTTGTCAGATTTTTAAAATCAGCCTCTCTAGACTGTGGAAATACTGCTCTTCTGCTCAACCACCCCCACAGTAAAGAAGTTATATCTTACATTTTAAGGGACTTTTATCTGTCTCATTTCACATCAATTGACTTTGGCCTTTCATTTGATACCACTGCTTTGTCATTATCCTCCACCAGGTGTTTATCCACATAAGAAACTTCCATCTTTCTCTAGTGACAGCCAACTTTTTAGACCTGCAGCTCTGAGAATCCAACCATTTCTTAAACCAGATCTGGCTCTGGACAACACATGGATCTGCTGTGGGAGTTAAAGGGGAATCTATGTCCCCATTATCTTCCATCTCCCATCTCCACCAGTCAGGCTGCTGTTGGACAATCAGTCTTCCTTCCAGCATCTCTGCAGCACAGGAAGAAGCCTGGGACTGCCTAGCATCTAGAAAGCATGTTCTGCTCCATAAAATTCCTCTCCTGTTCAGTGGCAGCCAAGGTGGGCATCAGTATAAGCATCTTGAGAATCTACTATGCTAGCTCGTCTTTTGATGACTCACCAAACAATACAAGAGCTGATACAACTGTCCCTCTGTGAAGATCTCTTATACAGTAGTGGAATCCACTTTATCACAGACCATTTGATGGGAGAAGCTGGACAATGCCAGTGAATCCCAGCCAGCTCTCTCATACCTGGAGGAATCTGGTAAGAATAATTCAGGACTGAAAGACTTTGCAATAGTTCTTGGAGCAGTACCTGCTGCCTTTCTTTTATTGCTGGTAAGCCTTTTCCAAAGAGCATCCACTTGCTAAATTTCATCAATTATTTACATACAGCATCATAATGTTGAAAAATTAAGGATGCATAGATTGTACAGTCATACAGAGTGAGCCTCAAGTTCTTCACACAGCAAAGTTGTATTCTGCTTGTCTAGTAGCCAGAAAAACAGAAGTATAAGGATCAAACAACTCAAATCTACTTACATGATTCACCACTTTGATCCCTCACTGATACAGTTAAGCACCATTGAATACTTTTTCTTCCTACCTTCCCTAGTTGTCTTCATTTTATAATACCCTAAAAAATATTCAATTTTATCATCTTTCACATATGTTTCAGCAAAGTGATACCTATGAGAACAGACAATGCAAAATAATTTTTAAAAAAACACGCACACACAAAATTAGTTGTTTTTCACATTGTTATGATGTTAAAAGCTCCCCAAAATTGCAAATTTTATCTGCATTTACTTTTCAATGGCCAGAATTTTCAAAGTATTCCTGATAGAATTTGAACTTGAAGTGGCCTATCGTATGAATCAGTGAAGGTTAGCACCCAGATATTTCTGGTTAAATACTACCGTTTGGAAGCCTCATAACTACTATCAAGCATGAAGAGAAGAATTGAAAAAGCATGATTGAGTTCCCTAAGCAGGGACAAACAGAGGAAGATTTTACATTGCAGAAAATGTGGTTTTGCTTAACAGCAGCAAAAAACCAAAGGTAAGCTAAGAAGAGTCTGAACATCTAACAAGTTTCAACAAATGAAAACATTAAATTTGATAGATTTCCTTCATGTTTTTATTAATGCGTTCTGCTGAAAAATGATCCAAACTCATCTCCATGACAAAGACAGAAAAGTCTGGAGAAAAAGTCTTTAATGGGGCCTTTTACATTTTCTTTGTACCACTCTGCCTTAGGAATAATGACAAGCCATTTAACTTTACTAGCTTTCAAAGTAACTTACATATTGCTAGAATTAATGATGGAATGTGTTCAATGCAGATTTGTAAATTCTAAGAATAAAGAAGAAAGTCGTGATGAATAAATCCTTTATTTGTTCCTATGCTTAATCACTTCCACCATTAAAAATTCATTTCCACCTTTCTGAGATCTCCGAATTCTACTTCCAATTCCTAGATTCTGTCCTAGATGAAAAAGTAAGATGAAAGAGTTCTTTTCTATAAGATATCTCCTTCCTTTCCCTTCAAGTAATTAATGGACAGTAATCAAATCACTACTTAATCTTCTCCTTAACAAGTCAAGTTGAATTGTTTAAGAATTTAACTGTAAGGCAGAGTTTTCAAACATAAGTCATGATGTGGTTCATCTCTGAACCTTTTTCAATTTTAACACCCATTTTGAAGACTGAACTATTAATAGCTGGATACAACCTAGCAGGGAAGATCTCATCAGCATCATACACAGAAGTAGCACCTCTTCCTCCTGCTACTCCAAATATTTCTGCAAACATTTTTCCAGGTTTAGCTGAAAGTTTTCATTTTCAGAGTGTAGACCAAAATAGGAAAATATTTTCAAGTCCAGTTTTGTGACTGACACAAACCAATCTAACTGCTAAAAGTGCTGATCTCCCTTTCCCTCTGCCATTTCTGATTCCCCTCTCTGTTCTCACTCCAGTGTCCCTGTGGTTGTTGACCTGGCTGAAAAATAATAATTTTAAATTACACTGCCATCTTTGGGTACTGATAATGATATTACATTTATGTAACACTCAATCTACGTAACTAGCAATTCCTAAAATAAATCTACAAAGGACTGGGTCTTTAAAGCTGCCTGGTGACCCAGCTGTCTGATTGAATGCTATCCAGCAAAGACAGCTGAGTTGGAAAGCTTCCAGCTCTTTGTATGGGATACTTGGGAAAAGTTAGGGGCTCCCAGAATAGAATCACAGTATGATGGCACAGGTCTGGGGAAGCAGCAATCAGGGTTGAATAACATATTTGAAAAAAATGACTCTAGAGTCACTTCCCTTCTATGGGAATTGCTGGAATAGAGCCTGCTGTTTCTAAGACTGCTCTACAGGATGTGAGATGAATGCTGATCTGGGTATTTGCTGTTTGCTGTGAGCCCCTTGGCTGGCTTGGTTTTTTCATCATTAAGAAGTAAAGCAGCATTGTGTGACCTCATCTGGAAAGACACAGACTCTCAAGGCAGAAAGGAACCTCAGACATGACAGCAATGAAGGCCATGTAAGTAACTAAAACAGGCAGGCAGAGATCCTGCCCACTCTGCAATCCCAGGTCACTGGGAAGGAGCTGTCACATCCATTGGCTCTGAAGTCAGTCTAAACAACAAATAGATAACTGCAGCTCCTGGATGGAAGAGAAAGGCAATTAGAAAATAGCTCTGCTGGGAGAAGTGCAATACCAGTTACCCAACACGTAAGTATTTCTACCTTAACTATTCCTATAAAGTATGTTTGCTCTAGAGGAGGGCTGGAACTTCTCGTTTGTTTCCTTGCATCTTATAAGGCTAGATGCTATAGCTAGAGCAGAAAGGGCTTCAAATTAACAGTAGAAAGCTGACCCCTGGTGTTGGGAACAGGGATACTGATAGAAGACAGTAAGGAAGGGAGGCTGCTGTGCTCCTGAGCGCTGCCTCACAGTCTGTGTAGTTCACCAGTAAGATTCATTCACTAGCATATCTTCCGACGAATGAATGAAAGCAACAGGCTACAGGGCTTGGCAGGAGTGTTGCTGTTTTAATTTTTACGCTTTCATATCAGTTCTTCCTCCACAAAGCATCTAATCAACCAATGCTGTACAGCAGAAAATTAATGGTTTCCTTTAGGGAGCTGCCTCACAATGCCAGAGAGTACAATAGGATTGTTTGTAAATATCTGGTTAGAAAAAGCAAGTAAAAATGGTATGAACACATGCAAGAATTAAAACTGTGTCACTATCCAGTGGGTTATTAATAGTAAAGAGTTGATGCCAGCAATCATTAACACATGTGGTACTACACCAAACACTTCATGAGTGACTCTCCCCATACAATATCAGGATTCAGAAAGATCCAATCTGTAGACAGCTGACTGACAGCAGCTATCACAGTTTTCAGAGGATACACTGGGTACTTTCTTCTACTCCATCTCTGCACAGTACATAAAAGGGAGTGTGCTGAAGCATCTTCAGAGTCTTTACGTAAACTCTCACCCCTAATTTTTCCAGTTGAAACAGGGGATTGTTCTCAAGGTCAGAAAGAACCCTCCTTTCTTGATACTAAGTGTCCTTTGAAAAATTCCCAAGGGGTAACAAAATACTCGATGGTCATTAGCCCACGTATCTGTGGATGTTTTAATGCAACAGAACCCTATTTTGAAAAGGTGTTCCCTTCTATGACTCTCTCTCCTAATAGAGGGACATCAGTAGGGCTATGATGTGCTTCAAGCTGCTGGATATGCACATCCAGATAAGGAATTAAAATAACTCTGCAGTACAGCCATGGGGAAGGAGGCTGGTCTCCAGGAAGAATGCATTCTTACTTGCTTACCTAGCTGAAGTGGGAAATATTTCATCTAATTCCCAGTCCAAGGTCTGACCCTGTACTTCTGAATTTCAGCTTTGAAGCTATAACAAACCCTCTGGCAAGGTGTGCCAGGTGCACTTGTGCAGGTTCTTGCTCCAGCAAGTGAGTCTGAGAATGCTGAGATAAGCTGCTTAAGAGGAGATGAGGCCCTATCCTCTTAAGCTTTAAGACACTGATTTAAAAGTGTCACACATTTATCAGAAGCCATCAAGCAGAATTAAGCCTCTCCAGATATAATTAGAGGCCCACTTCAGCCTGATTTTATATAATTCTTAAAATTCACATTTATTGTATGAAATCAACACTGCAACAGCCAAAGGCTAAAATCAAACCAACATGCTAATAAAAAATTATTTTCAACAAACAAGGAAAAATTTTATCTGGTAATGTAGGAGGCAAACACCATCAAATACCTTTCCAATGAAATGAAATTAGATATAATTGCATAGCCAGGCACTCTAGTAAACCTAGACATGAAATCAGAATACAGTCTGGCAGTATTGTATAGATGTTGCCTGAATGACCTCTCCTACTCAACACAGAAAATACTAGTAAGAAGTTGTATTACCCTCATCATCCTCACTGGCAGAAAGCTTTCACTGCCCAGATATCTCAGACGTGGTTTTCAGAATTCCTGACCTGCCGCTGTTTGCTGAAACTTCTTTCCACTGCTGAACTTTTTTCCACTTCATCTGGAAGCCACATTCTGCCCTTTTTCTTAACTAATCCTGCTGTTATGTAAATATGTGCGTTAAGTAAAACCAAAATGCATGATTAATCATGCAAATACCACCCAGTGCATCTTGGAGAAAAGCTGATGATTCAAGAAATCATAGAATTTAAATATTTTAAAATATGAATCATATGCTGCTCAACACAGAACATGGTCCCAACTGACTGTCATTAGTAAATTAATTGAGATTTTGATTTGGTGGCACCCACCTTGAAAGTCCAGTTGAATGAATTAATATACTGCACCACAACTCAAGAAATAGAATCACAGTCTTAATATTCAGGTTGGGACTTCATGCTGACAGCTGTAATACCACATGCAAGAAATGATAAGAATTTGTTTTGAAGAAGAAAAGGAAATTGCAATTTTCAGAGCATGCTATGAAGCCTGGAAAGATTAGAGGCTGTCAGAGATCCTGCAGTACAAGGAGCTTTTAGGAAGAAGCTAAACTCTGATGCCTTTAAAATATGGAAGATCCCACTGGGGCTTGGGGTTTGGTGGAAAACCTGCAAACTCTTCTGCAAATCTGAAATGTATTTCAAACTTGTCTTTGCAAAACTTAATTAACTTTTCTCAGTGGGAACACAAATTTGGAAAACTACATTAAAAGCCATAAATAATTCAGCCACAAGAACAATTTAATCTCATTACAGATGAACTGAGGTGCTTTAAAGGAAGAAAAAGAAAAACAAGGAGCAACAAACTAGCAAAGGTGGACCAGACTCATGACTTACTGGGGATTTCCTTTTGTACTCCAGGGATCAAAGTGGAGCTGTAAGCTGGTCACTCAAGATACATGAAATACAAAAGTTGCAAGTCATCAGATTTACAAAGACCCAAGCCTACAGGGTCACAGAATTAGCCTAAGGTCACAGAACTAGCCTAAGGTCACAGAACTAGCCTAAGGTCACAGAACTCCACTTTTTTGGGAATCATTGCCTCTACCTTCATGAAGTGACACCGCCTAGAGGGTCATGCAAGGAAAGACACAAAAGTTTGCAACAGGGCTGACAATTTCCTGAAATCTGGAGTGGTGCAATAACAGGAAGTTTTCTTTTCAAGTCTCAGCTTTATTATTTAAACAAAATTCTGCTTCTGCTTTGTTTCAGACCAAGGCACTGCTAGACCTCATGGCAATAAAGGAAGGCTTTAAAACAAACAGATTCCACTCAGGAATTATAAAAGAATAAAAGTAAAAATGAATTTAAAAAAATAAAAATAAATAAAATCTATCAATTAATCACTAATCTCATAATGCCTTGTCATCTCTGAATGATCAGACCTGGCAATACCATGCCACACTCAGGGAAAAATATCCCAGCTACTGAAAAAAATTTGCCTACTCCTTGAGAGACAAACTCCCAACGCTTTTAAGTATGACCTTTTCCACTTGTAGTTCTTCCTGTTTTCTCACTTTCATATGTCAAATAACTCTGCTGAAGACGTCATAAATAGTTATGTTATTTGCAAAACAATCTTAAATATATTATTTTTATCATAGACAAGAAGATAAGTATTCCATCACTCCCTGTGTCCTTAATTTCTGTCCCAGCACTTGTTTTAAGGGAATCTACAAAAAGGAACAAGTAATAGTTAATATGCTTGGTAAGTTACTACATAAAAATATAGAGCTATTTTGCCTATAGTGGTTTGTAACAAAAAATTTACATACACAGTCTTGCTTTTAAGGGTGGCTAATGTGTGCAGTTTAGCAAGGGGCAGACCAAGGCATATAGAGAAGATGCACAGGGGATATTTTGCATGCTTTATTATATGTGTTCTTATTGATTATTTTCTGCAATATAACATGACACCAGAGTTTTACTGACAAAAGTCTTGCTGAAGTCAAAGTAGACAATATCCACTGCTCTTCCCACATCTATCCAGGTAGCTGTTTCATCACAGAAGGCAATAAGGTTGATCAAGCATTATTTATCCTTTGTGAATCCATGCTGACTACTCGTGATCACCTTCTTGTCATCCATGTGGTACAAGATGGCCTCCAGAACAAGGAGTTCCACCATCTTTCCAGGGACTAAGATGAGGCTGACTGGCTGGTAATTCCCTGGGTACTCCTGGATACTCCTCCTTGCTCCTTCTGAAAACTGGGGTGACATTTATTTTCTTCCAATCCCCAGGCACTTTTCATGGTTGCCACAACCTGTGAAAGATGATTGTGAGCAGCCTCGCTATGGTGTCCTTCAGTTCCCTCAGTGCTTGTTGATGTGTTGCATCAAGGCCTATGGAGTTGTGCGTGTCAAGGTCACCTAAGTGCTCCCTAACATGATCAAAGGAAAGTCTTGTTTCCAACATTCCTTTATACTGATCTTTTGGGCCAGAGATCCCCGAGGGCTGTTCTAGTCAATGTCGACCAATGCAAGAAGGTGTTCAGCAACTGCCTTGCCTGAATTCTCTCTTACCAACTTCCCCTCTCCATTAAGTACCAGACCCACATTATCCTTTGTTTTCCTTTTGTTATTGATGTATTTGAAGAAGACCTTCTTGTTGTTCTTGACATCCTTGACTAAAATTAATTCCAGATTTGCCTTGGCCATCCTTGTCTCATTTTTACTTGTTCTGTTAACATTTCTATATTCAGTCCAAGTGGCCCATCCCCACTTCCATCTTCTGTGTGTTTCCTGCTTATGCCTGATTAATGACAGGAGCTCTTTAATGATCCACATAGGGTCTCTCAACTGCTTTGCCTGATTTCTTGCTCATCGGGACACACTGTTCTTAAGCCTGAGAAGAAGTGATCTTTGAATATCAACCAATTCTCTCAGACTCATCTTCCCTCCAGGACCTGTTTCCATGCAATTCTTCCAAGAAGACTCCTGAAATCCCTCTCCTACTCCCAGGCAACCACCTGCCAAATTGCAGCCACCACACAAGGATTCACCACTGAAGTACATCCTTAGCTTGAAAGACTCTGAATGCAACTGAACACTGCAGATCATCCAGTCATATCTAAGCCTGCAACAGTAACCTTTTAAAAAATCGTAACAGAATTCTGTACAAACTATTTCTGTGATTGATTTTTTCAACAGCAATTCTTCACTACAGAGGCTGCACTCCTGTAGTCATGAGAGATTAACAATAGTTCTATCTTCTTAACAAGTA